ATGGATGTTGTCCTTTACTTCAAAGGGAATGGAGCATAAAATAAGTAGATTTTGCTAAAACTACACAAGGCACTTCTCTGACCATTGTGGACTGTTTGTTGGCTGTTCACCTAATGAAATATATATTGGCATTGGAGGTAGTCCAGAGAAGGCTCATTAGGTTGATCCTGGTTATCGGAGGATTTTCTGATGAGGAGAGGTTGAGTAAATAGAGTCTATACTCAAGTGGACCTGTGGACTCAGTGAAGGGACGATCCTTTAGAACAGAGATGTGGAGGAATTTCTTCAGCCAGAGGGTGGTGAATGTATGGAACTCATTGCCGTAGAAGGCTATGGATGCAAGTCATTGAGTGTTTGTAAGACAGAGATAGATAGGTTTTTGATTAATGAGGAGATAAAGGGTTATGTGGAGAATGCAGAAGAATGGGGCTGAGAAGCATATTAACCATGACTGAGTGATAGAGCAAACACAATGGGCCAAACCCCGGCTTAATTCTGCTCAAACATTTTACAGTCTTATGGTATTTGTTGAAGTTTGGAAAGATGAGAGGCAATTTTATTGGAAATCTAAGATTCTAAGGGGACTTGACAGGGTAGATACAGCTAGGTTGTTTCCCCTTGTGGGTGAGTCTAAGTCCAGACAGCATAATGTCAGACTATGGAATCACTCATTTAAGACAAAATGCTGTAGAGGCTGAGTAATTAAGCATACTCAAGGCTGAGATAGACAGGTTTTTAATTAGGAAAGGAATCCAGGGCTAAGGAGAAAAAGGCAGGAAAGTGGAGTTGAGGAACATCAGATCAGTCATGATCTCATTGAATAGTAGGGCAGATTTGATGGACCAAGTGGCCTATTTCTGTTCTTTCTTCTTATGGTTTTCCGGTCTCAGCAGTTGAAAGCATGGCACCAATGATGGAGCAGTTAGTAAGAAGGTCAAGAAATGGACTATCATTTGCATCACTGCAATGCTGGATGGCAGTTCCTTCCAAGGGTTTGGTACTGTCCTATCAGTCAGAGCAACTACACTTAAAATAACACCAATGTCTATGCAATTCATTACTCAGAAAGCTCCCGCATATTTTCAAGATGGCAAATCTAAATTTTTATTTTTCTTTTCAAGCCCCACAGGGAGCACTAGATTACATGACACCATGGAACCAATCTTTGCCTTCAACATCAGTCAACATCAACAATCAATATCAAAAGTTCCTGTTTGTGGCAAGTTAAAATTCTGCCATGCAAAAGGGTCAACCCAACTACTGCAAGCAAATTGTCTTGGCCCATATCTTTCAATTTGTATATCTTAGCCCAGCACCTCACTGAAGGTAATCCCCATTCCCTTCACCGCTGAGCTAGAGACAGTTAATTTATTTCTTGCCCATATATTCACAAACACACCACTCGCCAGTGCACACCATTAAATACGCAATGATTAATCAATTTGTACGTTAACATCCCATGCTAATAGATCTGCTGACAGAATAAACTAAACTCATGAATCACTCCAGTCTGACAATCTCCTATAAAGTATTAGAATATGCTTGATAAGTGTGCAGAAATCTTTGCGCCATGAGAAGTGGAGGAATTATTCAACTGAAAAGCCAACAGCTTTTTGAATATTTCATTCTGTCTTTCTGACAGAGGGGCAAAAAAAATGAAGGTGGGACATTCATTTTATTTTACATACTCTTGTCCAACTGAAGGCAGCAGAAAATAAATTTACATATTGGAAAGCACAGCTTCAGAAGTTTTTTTTTAATTAATCGTACCTTGGAACTAGTTTAAGTGTGTACGATGTCTCTATTTATCACATTTTCAGGTAGGTACCTGCTGCTGGTATTAATATGCTGTATTTAGTTTGATTTATTTATAAAATGAGTGGCAACTGAAAGTAATGAAAAATATTCAGCGCCTTTTCTAACTGTATTGACAGTAATGAAATTTGCTTAAGAATAGTCTTCAGATGCTTAAAATAGCAACAGGCATAATACCAGAACTTTGTCATGTTAAGGAAAAAGTAAGACATTGCCTTCATACTAATTTATTACTACATTGTCACATTTACTTGGAAGTAACAGGTTAATTGATTCAAACTTCAGAAAATAATAAACAGCTGCTATACTAAGCTTGTCATCGTGAATATACAATTTTTCCCTTCTTTCAACACTGTCCCTTCTCCTATACACACAGCTCACCAAAGCCATGTAATCTCCTGGGACAGGCAGATGAAAAATATAAAAAAATGTAGCCTCAGCAAACTAATGTGTGAAACATGGTGTGTGGATTCATTTTAACACTAGTTCTAAGGTATGGCAGTGATTTCAGAGAATGTGTTTACGTGAGCAACGTACAGTTTTGAAATAACTGGTGAAGCTTTCAACGGTACTGGCCAAACTGGTCAATTGTGACCCCTGGAGATTGTTGATGAGGGACAATTAGTGGACATTGTGCCAGTGAAGACCAGGGATACAGGTCAGATCTTTACTTGGAGGAGATGGTCATTGTTGAGCATGCATCAGCTCCCATCATAAATTCTAACTGTCAGGGAGTACTGCAGATCTTCAGAGCCTGGTACACCAAGAAGAAAGATGCATCTCCTTTCTTAAGAAAAGTAAAATACTGCAGATGCTGGAAATTTGAAAAAAATAACACAGAAGATGTTGGAGAAACACAGCAGACCTGGCAGCATCTGCAGAGACAGAAATAGAGTTGACATTTTGTGTCCAGTCTGAAAATACAACATAACATCAGTACAGCACAGGAACAGGCCCTTCAGTCTACCATGTCTGTGCCAAACATGATGCCATTCTAAACTAATCCCATCTGCCTGCAAAAAGTCCGTATCCCACTATTTCCTGTCCGTTCATGTATCCGTATAAACGCCTCTTAAATGTTGCTATCAAATCTGCTTCTACCACCTCCCCTGGCTGTACATTCCAGGCACCTACCACCTTCTGCATAAGAAACTTACCTCATACATCTCCTTTAAATGTTCCCACTCTCACTTTAAACCAATGTATCTAGTATTTGACATTTCCATCCCAGAAACTCCAACTATCTACCCTATTCGTCTCCTATATTGCTATGACCCTCCAATCCAGGTGAAATCCTGATGAACCTCTTTTAGACCCAATGTGGACATGCATGCCATATGCTTTCTTTATCATCTTCTCAACGTTTGTTACCAATTTTAGGGAGCAATAGACTTGCCCCCCTCGATCTCACTGCATATCAATGCTCATAAGGGTCCTGTCATTTTCTGTATACTCTCCTCTTGCATTTGACCTCTCAAAATGCATCACTTTTTCATCACAATTGACCAGATTAAACTCCATCTACCATTTTTCTGCCCAACTTTCCAATTAATGCATAGTCTGCTGTATGATTAGACAAACCTTCCTTACTATCCACAACTCCACCAATTTCTATGTCATCTGTAGACCTACTGATCAGACCACCTACATCTTCATCCAAATCATTTATAAAGATAACAGGGATCCCAGCACTGATCCTTGCAGAACACCACTGGTCATAGACTTCCAATCAGAAAAACACCCTACTATAACTACCCTCTGTCTTCTGTGACCAAGCCAGTTTTGTATCCAAATTATCAACTCACCGTGGATCCCTTGCAAATTAATCATGTGGACCAGCCTAACATGAGGGACCTTGTCAAATGCATCAGTAAAGTCCAAGTAGACAATATTCACTGGCCTACTTTCATCTGGTCAATCATCTTTGTCACTTCCTCAAAAAAACTCAAAAAGAAATACGTTTTGGGTCGAGTGATCCTTCCTCAATTCTGAGGAAGGGTCACTTGAGCTGAAATGTTAACTCTGATTTTTCACCACAAATGCTGCCAGACCTGCTAAGCTTTTCCAGCAATTTCTGTTTTTGTCTTTGATTTAAGCATTCACATTTCTTTCTGTTTTTATTCAAAAATAAATACTTCTGATTCCCTTAATAATTAAAACACTATTTTTAAGAAGAGTTATACAGGACTCGAAACATTAAGTATTTCTCTCTCCAAAGATGCTGCCAAGCCTGTTGAGTTCTCTAGCATTTTCTGTGTTTCTTACAGCTCCATCTTTGTTTAATCTCAGTGTATCAACTTTCAATATATAATTTCATCGGCGGCAGTTCAGAGAAAGTTCATCTGGATGGTCCACAGAATGGAGGGATTGTCTTATGAGCAAAGGTAAAACCGGTTGGATTTCTATTCATTGGAGTTTAGATAAACAAGTGGTCATCTCGTTGAAACATGTAGCATTCTTAAGGGACTTGACAGGGTAAATGCTGAGAGGATGTTTCCCCTCATGGGAGAGTCAAAGACCCAAGGCCAGTCTCAGAATAAAACAGCACCAGTTTAAGTACGGCATTCAAGATAACTGTTGCTGCCCATTAAACATTCCCCTGCCCTTTGGGGTCAGATGTTCCTTTTCACAGACAATTAACCTAAGCTTAAGCATCTGTCACCAGTACAGGGTAAAAATACTAAAATACTAAAAAATAGTACTTCTACTCTAAGGATAGCTTCTGGGTAGGAGTAAAAGGAGTCATTTCATTAATGGTATCTGATCTCAGGAAACTCCAGGTAACATGCCCTCACTTGCCATTCACTCTATATAGTTATTTTCAACACAGCCTAATCATGTTCACCCAGATGAGTGTGGACCTCATCTTCTGACAACAAGAAGTATAAATATCTCCTAACATACCTGAGTCCATGGGTGTAAGCTCAGATATGTGCATAGAAAATTATGGAACAGTACAGAGCAGAAAGAGAACATCAGTCCACTATGCCTGTGACACCACTTTGAAAGAGCTATCCAATTAGCTCCTCATCTCATAACCTTGGAGGTGCTCTCATTTGCAAATACTTATCCCATTCTCTTTTGAAAGTTGCGACTGAATCTGTACCCATCATACTTTATGGCAATGCATTCCAGATCAAATACAATGCTGTAACCAAGGTAAAGAGAAACGTTGGCTTGCTTACCCACAATCTTGCCCAGAGTGAGAGACTTAACAGCATTGAATTCGAGATCCATATTTGAGGGGAGGGTGTACTCCACAGTCGTGAATTGATCAATCTGTAAAAATAGGGTAGAAATTCCAAAGGTCATGTCATATTCCTGTTGTACACTTTCAGTTTATGTCACACCTTTAGCATTGGTCAACTCATGCATTCAAACAATAAGTGTGAAAAGTGTGAGGTGATTCAGTTTGGAAAGAGTAACAGGAATACAGAGTACTGGGCTAATGGTAAGATTCTCGGTAGTGTGGATGAGCAGAAAGATCTCGGTGCCCATGTGCATAGATCACTGAAAGTTGCCACCCAGGTTGATAGCGTTGTTAAGAAGGCGTACAGTATGTTAGGTTTTATTGGTAGAGGGATTGAGTTTCGGAGCCATGAGGTCATGTTGCAGCTGTACAAAACTCTGGTGCGGCCGCACTTGGAGCATTGCGTACAGTTCTTGTCACCGCATTATAGGAAGGATGTGGAAGCATTGGAAAGGGTGCAGAAGAGATTTACCAGGATGTTGCCTGGTATGGAGGGAAGGTCTTATGAGGAAAGGCTGAGGGTCTTGAGGCTGTTTTCGTTAGAGAGAAGAAGGTTAAGAGGTGACTTGATAGAAACATACAAGATGATCAGAGGATTAGATAGGGTGGACAGTGGGAGCCTTTTTCCTCGGATGGTGATGGCTAGCACGAGGGGACATAGCTTTAAATTGAGGGGTGATAGATATAGGACAGATGTCAGAGGTAGGTTCTTTACTCAGAGAGTAGTAAGGGTGTGGAATGCCCTGCCTGCAAAAATAGTAGACTCGCCAACTTTAAGGGCATTTAAATGGTCATTGGATAAACATATGGATGATAATGGAATAGTTTAGGTTAGATGGGCTTCAGATTGGTTTCACAAGTCGGCGCAACATCGAGGGCCGAAGGGCCTGTACTGCGCTGTAATGTTCTATGTTCTATGTTCTATGTTCTAAGTTTTGAAGGGGGAATCATTTTCAAACTGTCACAAGTTCCATTCTTGGTTTCATTTCAAATTAAGACATCAGTTTATCCATTTCTCCCTGAGTTTAATCAACTTTAGGTGTAGTAAATCTGTAACAATATCAGATCATTTGTGATAAAAAACATTGCAAAATATTCACACGGTTGAACCATACAGGTCTGGGAGTCAACTGGTTTTGGACTGATTTCAAGCAGGGTGCAGGACAAATACCATTAGACTCAGTTGAGACCTGTAAGTTAGTAGTTGCATGGAATGTTTGAAGATTTTAAGTCCATCTTCACAGACCTTAGTACAGAAACCTAGGTTGACACACCATTGTGAGGTCAAAGGAGTTGGATTCTAAATCACCTATGGGGACAAGGTAAGGTGGGAGTGCTTTTGAAAAAAGTATTTTCAAATGGGGTGACAGTCTTTATATTTGTGTGATTCACTACAATTTTCAAAGGAGGGCAAGGAAGAAAACCAGTAACTTGCACACCTCCAACTGACTGCTGTTTGAAATAATTCCACAGAAGCCAGTATCCCATCACCAAGTCACCTTTATTTGCAGGCAATTGAATGCCACACACTGTCTCATCCAGAGTCAGTTACCAGAGCATCAGCATCGCTGATGCTTCCCATTTTATCTGTCAGCCAGGGCTCACTGATTGGACCAGATTAACAGCCCCAATCAGGTAACTCATATTCTATGAGGTTCAGCTGGCTGATCTTGTTACAAATGACGAGAGTGGTTAGGCTTGTTGAAGAGTTTGTTAACAGGCAAGAGAAAGACAGAATCGAGAAGAACGGGGGTTCAAGTCTCACCTGCCCCACAAGTGTGTTAAAACATATCCAATCGGGTTGATTAAAATAACGAAGGAAAGGAAGAGCACATGTTTTGGGATTTGATAGTGTGCAGTGGGGAGACGTTTCTATTGGGACGGCTGATTTGAAATAAATCTTGAACGGGAAAGAAACTGAAATGAGGGGTGCGATAGGCCAGCACAAAGTTCCTGTTGTTTGAGCATTTTGTTTAAAGTCCCTTATGAGCGAGTGATTCGGTCTTTAAACCGTCTGCTGTTAAGCTCCAGACAACAACAAGTCCTGTCTTGGTTGCCATCTGAAAATAAGCCGATGGAAATGTTTTTCACCTCCAGGCTACGCCAATCGGTTGCTAAGTCACTTGCAACTCGAAGTCACTTTATGCCACTGTTGTTGGCGCAGTGTGGGGTCAGAATCCAGAGGTTATTTGGATATTTGGATATTGGTTTATTGGCCCTGGATAGAAAACCCAGCACTGCTTCACCCTTCCCTCCCACCATCTGCCCTTTCACATAAGAACATAAGAAATAGGAGCAGGAATATGGCCTGTTGAGCCTGCTCTGCCATTCAATAAGATCATGACTGATCTTTTCATGGACTCAGCTCCACTTACCCACTCGGTCACCATAATCCTTAATTCCCTTACTGTTCAAAAATCCATCTATCTTTGCCTTAAAACATTCAACGAGGTATCCTCAGCTGCTTCACTGGGCAGGGAATCCAAAGATTCACAACCCTTTGGGTGAAGAAATATCTCCACAACTCAGTCTCTTATTTTGTGGCTGTGGCCCCTCGTTCTAGTTTCACCCACCAGTGAAACAACCTCCCTGTCTCTATCTTATCTGTTCCTTTCATAATTTTACATTTCCGTAAGACACCCCCCGCCTCATTCATCTAAATTCCAATAAGTATAGTCCCAGTCTACTCAATCTCTCCTCATAAGCCAACCTTCTCAGCTCCAGAATCAACTCAGTGAGCTTCCTCAGCACCCCCTCTAGTTCCAGTACATCATGGACAAAAAAGAGCTCAATCTATCTCCTGAGAAGGTCAGACTGCAATAGATGAAGTAAAACAAATGGATCGGTTCTTAATACAGATACGTAGAAAATCAGAAGAGGAATAAGCTATTCGGTCCTTTGAGTCTGCTCCATCATTTAATTTGGTCATGGTTGATCATCTAATTCAGTATCCTGTTCCTGCTTTCTCCCCAGACTCTTTGATCCCTTTAGCTCTAAGAACTATATCTAACTCCCTCTTGAAAACATTCAATGGTTTGGCTTCAACCACTTGCTGTGGTAGATAATGCCACAGGCTCACCACTCTCTGGGTGAAGAAATTTCTCCTCATCTCATTCTCAAGTTTATACTTGGGCCTGAATGCATCTGCTTGTTAGGAAATGGTCTTTGAGTACAGTGTCATAGAAAACAAATTAACTGCTAATATGTAAATTGTGTTTTGCTGTGAAGAAATAGCAATCACTTCCTGACACTTTAAAGCCTTACCAACAACAACAAAAACAGAAATTGCTGGAAAACTCAGCAGGGCTGGCAGCATCTGTGTAGAGAAAGCAGAATTAACATTTTGGGTGCAGGGACCCTTCTTGTAGCTGGGAAAAGAATTGGAATATGTGCTGAAGATGGAGTGGGGAAGGAGCAAGGAGTAAATGATAAGTGGAGATGGAACCCAGAGAGAAAAAAACACAGCTGGGCAGACAAAGGAATAGGTAAATGTCAGCCTGGGAGAATTAATAGCTATTAATTGGAATGGCTATAGTAAAAGCCTATGTGATGACAAGGCCTGGTTCCTGAGTGTTGTGTTAAGGACATGGGAGAAGGTGCTCAGGCCCTAAAATTATTGATCTCAGCATTGAGTCCTGAAGGCTGCATGGTTCCCAAGCAGAAAATGAGGTGCTGTTCTTCCAGCTTGCGCTGAGCTTCTCTGCAGCTCTGTAGTAACCCCTCGACAGAGATGTTGGCCAGGGAACATGGTGGTATGTTGAAATGGCAAGCAGCAGGAAGCTCAGGGTCTTTTTATATATTGCACTTCTCACAACCTTAATGTTCTCCTGATGATTGCAAGCATACAGGGAAATTTGAGAAGCAACCACTTTAATTTTAACTTTGGACTGGTAAGAAACAGGTAATTTATTGTTCTATATGGGTCATCGTCATCTTGTGAACAGATTCTGTTCTGGAGTCCCCATTCGCAAGTTGATTTGTACAGAAGTCAGAAAACAATGCAGGATGATATAAAATAGCCATTTATAAGTAGAGGAAACATTTGCATACGGGAATTAAAATTACAACCCTGTATGGGGATCATAAGCACGAGCTTTCGTAAATCAGACATTCATAAATCGGGGATCCCTGTAATCTTCTATGTATGAGATCTTTTATAGTTTCAGGGAGTGGTAGAAAATGTACATTGTTGGCACTCATTGTAGCATTTAGCTATGAGAGCATTTGTTGTAGCACAAGTTTGGTTTAATTTCCACACTAATTTTAAAACACTACTTAAAAACTTTGCATAATTCCTCTGCCTGTGCTATTTTAATACAGCAATTATTTCCAAAAGATTAATAACTGTGTTTAAGTCTCCCACACAGGAGTCCATGCCAACCTGTTAATGGGTTATCCATAAAGGTGCAATCAAGAAGAACACTGGATGGACCAACAGGCAATTTGTTGAAGACAAAATATTGCAATCACATTTCACAATAGATCAAGCTACATTCGAATCCTTAAGATTATGTAAAACAAAATAAATCTGTTGTCTGGCTCTACCGATGTATTAGTCATGGAATTTTTCCTGAATAAATTTTCACCAAAATTCCCTGAAGGTTACCATCTTTTTCCTGCCAAAAGTTGAGTCGAGAAACCGATGGGATGCAACGACAATAATTCGAGTGTTTCAGTGTTTCTTTCTGAATAAGTTATTGTGCAGTATCTGCTGGCCATAGTTACAGAGTTATTTCCTTCTTTAAAGTTATGCAGCCAGCTGCCCATCAAGTGTGAAAAGTGTCAGGATGACTGTTCAATAAAACAAACCTGACGAGTCCATAAATATTTAGATCCTGCTGTCACTACACATAAATAAAAGGTGAAGACCAACATTTTGTAAGTTACAGTGTCCACTCCAATGAGGTTTGTATGTATATTTTATTAACCCATTTTTCTAACGAACCTGTTCAGCAATGTTATTACACAGATGTGACTTGAAACTTGGTCTCCTCATTCAGGCGTAGGGACACTACCAGAGTGCTAGAAG